AGGAAAAGGAAAAAAAAAAAAAAGGAGAGGAAAGAGAAAACCCCCCCCCCCCCCCCCCAACCCCCGCATGCTCTCGCCGGCCGCTCTTCCCCTGCCGGGCTGTCGATCCCTAACATTTTCTGTACAATCATACCCCCCCTCCCCCCCCCGAAATGCGTTATGTATCTTCCGGGCTCCCCCCTGGAACCAGCATCGCCACGTTGTTCCCGTTTAGCAAAATCTTCGGCGGGAGTGGAGCACACGCGCGACGAGGGGCACGTAGGTTCGTACGAGAGACGAAAAACAAAAAAAAAAGCGGTGTCAAAAGAAGAAAGAAATAAGAAGGACAACAGCAGTTTCCTGTATCTGTAGCAAGGAGTAAGGAGATGCCGTGCTATACCTCGCTGCCCTTACTTTGCCATCCTCGCCTATCGCACACGACATTTGGGTTTGCCGCTCGATATCTGTGGGATGGGCACGAGCATTCCCTCGGCAGCCGTTTTACGTCGAACAAAGGCAGTAGGGCGCACCAGGGTCTGTCGAAACATACGGCGAGGTTACAGGGCTCGACTAAGAAAAAAATAAATAAAATCAAAAGCAGCATCGCTGCGCTGTCTGCTGTTGTTCGCTCCTGTTGATGTTTGTTTGTCTTCTCTTCGACAAAAAAATTACTGCTGCAGAGAGCGATGCAGCACCTGATCGAGCTGTATCCTCCGCTTCGTCCCGTCGGCATCAACCTCGTACTCGGTCACGTCGTCCAGCACCATGTTCACGTAGTCGTCGAACCCTCTCAGGGTGCCCACAAGCTCCTGGTCATGAATATTTTAGTACAATGTAACAACAACATCGGATCAGTGTTTCTTGCCGATAACACACATCACCACAGACGACAGACAAAAGAAGTCCCTCACAGACTTCTCGCCGTGTCACCGGTGGCGCTGTAGCTATCCCTCTCCATCGACCGAACCAACAGCAATTACACAGCCCCTCCGAGAGAGAGCAGTTGACGGAGCTCACATCCTCGCAAGTTTCAGCAGCAGGGGTGACCTAGCAAGCGAGAAAATGAACATATCGTCCATCGATGCGTGTGCGTTGGGATGATGTCGCGTCTCTTTGAGGGTCTGAGCAAGCGGTGAGTGTGTCAGCCGGCCAACATTTTGCACTGAGCGCAACTGGCTACACGGCAACCACAAGTAAACGGCTGGGATGGCGGCAGAGTGCTCCGAGGGTTGCTCGGAGCCCTTGATGAGCTCGCTACGACCAGTACTTGCTGCGCAATCGATGGTTTTGTCCGTGTGGTGTGCATTTCCAAACGCGAAAAACAAACGCGCCATCCAATCGAAAATTGTCATCATTTCCAAACGCATGACCGGTTGGAAACGTGAAATCAAAAATATTCAGGCAGAAAAGTGTCATTTCTGATCTTATAAAAAACAGTTTTTGGTCCGAATTTGGAAATGCACATTTTTGAACTGCATTTCCGAAAGTTATAAGAAACCGCCTTAAGCCTTGGAAGTGTCCTTAAGGTTGATACCCCATCCTTATGTTTTACATTCTGTGAGCCACCATGCCTGTGAAAAAAAAGTTGTCTATAACCGGGGGAATTTCCTTAAAAATGGTGTCCTGAACCGAGGGATGACTGCTGCAATGCACTACAGTCGGTTGCACAAGATACCACACCCCCTGGACCGATTTTCAAAGCTCGATTGCTCCACGACGAAGAGGGTGCCGCAGTCAAGCGATACGCTTTCGGTAATAAGCTCTCGACGAGACATTTCTAACGCCGACATTCTCGGTAACCTCACTGCTTTGTTGTTTGCTGCAGAGTGAACGAGCTTTGACTACATATCAGTAGATGCAAGGGGGTGTGGTATCTTGCGCAATCGACGCAATTTGAAAGCAATGCTCAGGGGTGGCACAAGCACGAACGAGAGAACGCAACCAAAGCCCCAATCGCTTCCTGGTTCCCTGTGGTTCACGCTACTCCCCCTGAACTAATCGACCCCCGCCACCGAGCGCCCCCCTTAGGTGGCTTGTGTTTGGGGGGGGGAGAGCGCACCCCATCTTTCGCAAAGACGCGCGTGAGTGCATATTTGGCCACTATCTGCAAGTATGCATACTTGCACCGCTGCGTAAACGAAGTTGTTCTTGGGTCTTGTTTTTGTCGGTGCCCTGTCCGCCGGGCTGCCAAAAGGAGAGAAAGCTAAAAGAAACAACGCTGTCCGGGGCGGCGGCTGTCCGGTACTCTCTACGACCATCAAACCACACCGCCGCTCCAACACGAACGGTGGTTAGTACAATCCCCTCCCCTGGCCGTGTTGCTCCCTCAGCAATAGGGGCTGTTGCCTCATCAAACACACCTTGTCTCCCTTCATGATAATCCACAGCCTGGACCCAATGCACTTGTCGATAAGCTCCAACGGAAGCAATCTTGCAGCCATTTCTCCCTCCTTGCGGCAATACAGCAGTAGCAGGGGCGGAAGTCTGTTGATCTCTACACAGCAGAGGTCAGCAAGTCCTGTAGACTTGTTGGCAACGCCTTGGACAACCGGACTCTCGCAGTCTGTAGTAGTGGAAAACGTCACGAAGGCATTATGGTTCGGGGACAGAACGGTAACAACCCCGGGGCGCGCGCGCGGCGCCTCGTGTGGATGGGCGAGGAGAGAGCGCGCGCGTGATCACTCCCAGAGCGAGGGCACACAGCAGCTAGACACCATGGGTGAGTGCCTGGCTAATAGGCCCGGGGTCACGGGTGAAGTGCATGGAGGTGGTGAGGTGTGGAGTTTTCGAGCAATAGCGGTCGGTGGCTGTGGAGTGTCTCGATCAAGAGGGTGGTGACAGCAGGAGTGTACATCGTTGCTGCTTTTGCGTGGCCAGTTGTGCCCATAGCTCGGGCGTCTCGGTGCCGACGTTTGCGTAGGGCGGGCGTCCTGATCCTTCCCCGACCTTGGCATTCCGTGACGTCGAGTTCCGTGTGTGCTTCGCTCTTCTGCTGTCAGTGAAAAAAAGAGTGTATTTTACCCTTTGGCTGCGCAACCTCTCTAGCCACCACCCTCTTCCTGAGAGAAACAACTTTCCCACAGCAGCAGCAGACACAGCGTTGCATATGCATAGGTGGTGCTAATTATGCACTGCCGTACGTACGCCCCAGCATTTCGACGCTATCGCCTGGCGGCTCCATTGCTGGGAGTCTTTTGGGCGTCGTTTCTTCGTCTAGAGGCAGCGGTCGGTACTGCTGCGCGAGTTGCCATGTGTACTTGTATCTGTACTCTATTTCCTATACAACACGATGAGGTACATCCCACTGAGGATTCATCAGCTTTGGTTTGGTTGAGAGCCCATGCAATCGACGTTTCGCTTATCAACAGCAATATTATTCGACCTCAAATACTCCATACCAAGGAAAAAGACATCATCTCGTGACCTTGGCGTTCAAAGCCGTTCTTGTTGTGTGAGCTGTGAGCTAACTACGGGGATGGCACACATGTCAGGGTCTATTGCTGTGAGGTTCACCCGTACACCATGACAGAGTGTTACCGTGTATACATCCGCGTATTTGCCGATTGAATAGTGCTGCGCAGACTGTGGGTATATCTCGAATGGGTAGTCTTTCTGTGCGTGTATTTATTTTTCCTCAAGTCCGGTATAAGTGCCGGTCATTTTCCTGGACACGATTATCCACTCCCATGCTTAAACCTAATTGTCCCTGTTTTGAAAAGTGCTGGTGACCCGGTATAATGCCGGCAGAATGTGGGTTTATCTCGAATGGATAGTCTTTCTGTGCGTATATTTATTTTTCCTCAAGTCCGGTATAAGTGCCGGTCAAATTCCTGGACACGATTATCCACTCCCACGCTTAAACGTATTTATCCCTGTTTTGAAAAGTGCCGGTGACCCGGTATAAATGCCGGTCAAATCTCTAGACACATGCCGGCACTATACAGGGCCCACTACTGCTGTATGCAGGGGAGCGGGCGTTGCGAGTTTTTTCATTTGGAACGAAACACGCGTGTGCCTCTTTGTATTCAGCAAGCATGCTGAGGGAGGGGGGATGGATACCACTTGCAGCACCTCTCTGCAGCAGCACATACCCGCAATCAGGAACCAACTTTCTGCGCTCTGCATCGAAGGTTGTCCGGTTGAACCACCACCAGCATTCCTGGACCTCGTTCTCGTCGTTGAACACTCCCTTGCCTAACCTCAACTCCCCCCCAGTAGCATATGCGGACATTTGCTGGCGTTTGTCATTAGAGCTCCCACCCACCGTGGTTCAGAACCATCTCTCGCCACCAGTGCTCCTAAGGCTGCTTCTCGCTGCTCCGATAGTTCATCTATGGTTGTTGAACGACTCCCGCCGTGGTTGCTTTCTTGCCACCTTGAACAATCTACTGCAACCGCGCTCTCTTTTCACCCCTCAACAAGCTAACGGTGTGTCTGTTTGCCCCCCGACTATCTACACACACACCTGTACCTGTTTTTTTGTCTAAACTTAGGCTCGGACAAGGCACACGAACTCCGGAAACTCGGGAAGGCCGAGCTTACCGCCAAGCTCACCGAGCTCCGAACCGAGCTCCAGACGGTAAGAGTGCGCATCGTCTTGTGCATGTGTATGTATCTACATGTAGCTCGCACGATAATAGATTTTGATGGCTTTCTCTCGCTGTTGACCACGGGTTGAAAAAGCCTCAAGACGCAGGAAAACATCGATTTTTTTCAGCCCTACGGGTGAAGTACGTCTGGAGGAAAAAACAGGTATTTGCACCAAGTGACCTGGTGCTTGAAGTTGATGAAAAGGCCGTTCTCGACTTTGAACTTTTTTATTATTTTTTTTTGATTGGGGGGCGAGAGGGGGCGGAGAGTTTGCGAGGTCCCGATGAAAGCGACATCTGTGTCTCTCGCCGTCGTCGTCGCCGCCGATGATGATACGTGGGAAGCAGCGTGACTTGCCATATTGTCGACGTCTGCGCATCGCTCTCCCACAGCAGTAAAACGCCGCTGTTTACGTGTAAAAAAACAGGCAAAAAACAATTGCAGGTACGCAAGTCTATACACAAGTAGGAAAAGCAAGTGATGCTGGGGCCTATACAGGATGACAAACTAGAAGCATTGGCGAGGATACTTGTCCTGGTTTTAGTAGGGATTAGGGTTTTGGGTTGCGAACCCCCCCTCTCTATTTCACAACTAGTGCTTAGTATTCTCGCGAAGGCGGCGCACAAAAAGACGGGGTGTGGTTGTCTCGTGAACACCCACAACAGCACACTCACACGGTTACTGCAGATTTGCTCGCGGGGCGATCCTATCCCTCTCTGTAAGCGTCTGCACGTGTACCAACATTCCCGCCCTCTCGTCGTGATTGCATTGATGGCACAACAATACGTCCTCCTTCTTCCCTGCGCCATCATGTTGTGGAGAATTGGCCATGTGCAATCGCAGTCCCGACGGCACTACTGCCAGCGCCGTCCGGATAGCGATTTCGGGGTGGTGGTTCTCTACAACATGATGGTGCAGGGAAGACCGGAGGGCATATTGTTGTGCGATCAATGCAATTATGAGAAGAGGGCGGCAAAGTTGGTACATGTGCAGACCCTTACCGAGAAGAATGTCTACGAATAGATTTCCACAGCTGTTAAACGTCATAGTAGTCATGTATTCCGTTGTAAGAGCAAGCCGACGGTTTTCTTGGTTTTCACTTATGGTAGTGCCAACCTAGCTTTTACTGTTTTGTTTGTATCTTGCTTGAGGGTTGAGAACGGAAGCGGGGAGCCCCCCCCCTCCTGCATGCAAGGACGTGACCTAGGTTACTTCGTCACAGACCGCGACGGCTTGCCGCCGGTCGTCCGTCTGTTTGTCTGTTGTCTTGCCTCTTTTTTTGCCCGACAACTCGACGGCATGACCACCATCAACATTTGTTGTTGTCGTTTTTTTATTGTGTTTTTTTATTGGAAACACACACTTGTCTGTTAGACCTTCTGGGTCTCGTCCGTACAAAACACATCAGCTAGTACGATTCACGCCTAAAACTTGCGTCTCTGTTTCAAGAAAGGGGGGGTGGGTGTCTCGTCAACGAAAGTAACACACGCTGCTGAACTTGGTTCATTCCTCCTGGTCGTCATTGATCCTACGGCGTTTCCTCTTGTCACGGGGAGTGGTCTTGAGCTCCCTGACGACTTGCCTTTTTCGATGAGAACGAACACGTGTTTCTGGGTCTCGTCCGTACAAAACACATCAGCTAGTACGATTCACGCCTAAAACTTGCGTCTCTGTTTCAATAAAGGGGGGGTGGGTGTCTCGTCAACAAAAGTAACACACGCTGCTGAACTTGGTTCATTCCTCCTGGTCGTCATTGATCCTACGGCGTTTCCTCTTGTCACGGGGAGTGGTCTTGAGCTCCCTGACGACTTGCCTTTTTCGATGAGAACGAACACGTGTTTTTAGTCGAAAAGGACACAATCGCCCGCGAGCTAAACACCACCCCTTGAGCCAACAACACAAGTGCCGTAGGATCGACGACGACAATGAGAAATGAAGCGTGTACAGTGGTTGTCGAGAAGGTTATGCAGGATCTCTGCGCGTATCTCCCGCAGCAGTCTATATACAGATGAAAGAAAAACAAACATGGTGGTACCATACGAGAAGTGGTGAGTCTCTTGTACCATAAATGAATAAATAATATAATCACAATTATTGAACTCCGTGCCACCAATCGCTTCCTGCTAGCCCAAGGGGAGGTGTTGTGCTGGCGGGCGATCCAATCCTTCTGATAACGGTCTTCACGCTTACATACAACAGTCGCGCGCCATTGTTGTACCTGCGTTGGTCACCAAATTTGTGTTCCTTCTCACGTGCGCCCATCATGTCCCGGAGATGAGGACTGTGGGTGATGTGCTCCTAACATGCGCCCCATCTTTTGTGTCGGAGAGTGCGACTGTATAACAAAACGTATCAAGTGATACATATTGTTGCACAGTCTGGACTCTCCGATATATGATGGACACACGTGAAGAGCACATCACCCACAGTCCGAAACCCTAAGTCTGAATCTCCGATGGGCGCATGTAAGGAGCACATCTTTTGTGACGAACGCAGGTACAACAAGAGGGCGCGACTGTTGGTAAGCGTGAAGATCCTTATCGATAAATCTCTACGCATAGCTCCAACGCTCTTCATTGTTTTTGCCTTCGGCGTTCGTGCACGGTGATCTTGTGGATTCAGTCCTTCGCAGGCCACCGCCGATCTCATACCGTGAAAAAACACAGTGAAACATTCCCCCGCGTTTGTTATATGCTTGTTGAAACTCGTTTTGCCCCTCTCTTGGTATTGTGCTGTTATAGCCGGCAAAGTCGCCGCAATATTTCTGTGGTGCCCATCCGCTATTTTTTTCTTGTCTGCTTGCTTTTCTCTTGACATTTGTTTTAGGTGCTCTCCCCCCCCTACCCTGATAGGAGATGGAAAACATTTTTGAGCCACATTCGGCGGAGTAGGGAGGAACGATTGGCCATCGGTGATCGGTACTGCGGGAACAATGCTCCTCTCGAGGACGCGTGGTCAATGGTCCAACCGCCAAAACAATGCAAAGCGTGAGAGTACGCCTCACCCCCCCCCCCGTCTCTCGTCCCGGCATTTTAGAAAGGCGAGGTCGATGGCCGAACTACTACGGCATGCGTTTACATGAGTACACCTCCCTCTCCCCCCCCCCCCCACTCTTTGCGTTATTTCTTGACCTCAGCTGCGCGTAGCGCAGGTGACCGGCGGCGCTGCCTCCAAGCTCGCCAAGATCGCGGTCGTTCGCAAGAAGATCGCGAGAACCCTCACCGTCTACCACCAGTCGCAGAAGCAGAGGGTGAGCTCGCTGTCTTGCATGGGCCCAAACGCTGTTCGGTGTGGAAACTGTAGTCCCTCTCCTCCTTTTGGTGGAAGGCCGACTTTGGCGCGGCTATTGCCTAGAGCCACCCCTTTGACTTTTTTTTTTCCATCAGGTTTGCTTTAGCCCCGTCTTGCGTACATGTCATGTTATTTGCTTCATCACTCTTTGAGGATTTCACGCTCTTGATACACTGGTCTCTTGTGACTAAAAAACTGAATACCGTGTGCACCAGTTGTTTGCACATGAGTCACGGCGCATTGCATGTAATCCCAGCGGCGGCAGCAGCCTGTCGCGAAGGGAGCGCGTCGTTTTGATGGCCAGGAGATGCAGGAACTGACTCGGCGCTGACGATTTAATGCCCCCGACCGCCTTCTGCGTTGAACGCCCTGTTGGCTGCTGTCCGCTTGCGTGGCAGTTCCGCGAGTACTACGAGGACATGAAGTACGTGCCCCTCGACCTTCGCCCCAAGAAGACTCGCGCCATCCGCCGCCGTCTGAACCCTGACCAGGTAGTATATGTAGTACGTTCATTGGAAAAGACAGAATGGCGTGGTAGGTGGCACAAGCACAACCTCGCGGCCTCTGTTTGACGGGGGGGGTGTCGACCAATGATGTTTGGGACGGAAGCTCTTGTATAGCTCCCGTTTTTCCTGCGCAGAGTGCAGTGGTGTGGTAGCAGCATGGGAAAAAGGGACGGGTGATCGGCGTAACGGAAGAGCGGCACGTGCCATTATTGTGTTCACTGTGAAGCATTTACTGTAGTTCAGCTCTCACAAGGAGTTCGAGCCATGGATGACGAGACTTGGGGGCAATTATCCCTTTGTTTGAAAGATCTCATTATAGCCATGAGGGAAGCTGAAGGATTTGTTGGGATACAACGGTTACCCAAAACCTGGCTAACGCGCAGTGTGCCATAGATGCTTTAAGCTCTCGATTGCTCCACAACAAAAAGGGTGTAAATGCCGAAAAGCAGGGGCAGATTGGCTCTCGCACCGCGCTGTGACGTTATGTATCACTCGCAAGCGTTTGTTGTACGTTGTCAACAGCCAGCTCTGCATTCCTCCGTTCTGTTTCGCAACACGGTTTTTTTACGTCTGAAGAGAGTATGGTCGTTCGGGACAGGCACAGAAATAGCAATGACTAACGCCTCCCTCCTCCAATTCCCTTCGCTTGGAACACCTTTCGTTGCCACAGCTGGCCATCAAGACCGACCGCCAGCAGAAGAAGCTGGACAACCTCCCCAGGCGCTGCTACGCCCTTAAGGCATAAATAAACGCCCGTTTATTCGTCGTCGTCGCAGAATGGTGTTTGTGGCCATGCCGCTTCTGACAAGACCTCCACGGACTTGATTCGTACCTGTTGGTAGCACACGTGTTGTGCTGCTGCTTAGTTGCGTGCCGGCGCCTGTTCGCGGGCCTGTGCTTGTAGCATTCGGAGTTGATTAGTAGGAGGACGAGAGGAGGGTTTTGCTGCAAGTGATGGCGATGTGATGGCGTGCTCGTGCGTGCTCGTCGTTGCCTTGTTTCGCTCTGGGAAATAAAAAAAAAAACATGAAAACCAAATATCCTTCTTTTTTGGTGGGGGGCTGACATTTTCTGGTGATGTCTGCATGTATGCTTGCGCCGAAACTTGGCGCTGTGCGCTGCAGTGCGTGCAGATGGGGGATGCTTGCTTGGACTCCATCGTTTCGTTTCATTCGGAGGGAGTGCGGCTTGTCACGCACTTGTTCGTCCCTCGTCAACAAGAATACGGCGCCTTCTCACGGCTGCAGTTCACCACCAGACGTGCGGTTGTAAGTTCACAGAAGCGTTGCTGCTGGACACGCCGCCGTATTCCCAAGTTCGGTAGAGCTTTGGTGACTGCTGCGAAGCTGTTGTTGGGGATTCATTACATGGTGCCTTCCACTGCTGGCACAAAGGAACGTCAACACGAGGTCGTGAGTCTCGCACACGGCAGCGTTTCCGTTGTTCCCCTCATGGGTGCAGTACTCTACATACGACGAGTTATCTCTCTCGTGCAACCCCTGTGCTCATCCCCACGCGGGTGTTTGCACTTGGGTGCAGCTCAGAAACTCGCACTCTGCGCTAATACTAGCCCGTGGTGCGAGCTGTATTCCGGTCCTGCGATGTCTCGGGTGCGAACCAACCAATCGTCAGACGTCTTCGCTTCCAACCCGAGCTGGCCGTCTCTAACACACCGACGAGCCGAGGGTCAACATCTAGGTTGCGGTGTAGCCGGACACTGGGGTGGTGGAGGTCAGAGCTTACTTGGGTGCGTCTGTAGATCATCTCCTGTAGGGCTCCCGAGCCTTGCCGAAGGAGGGCCGGACAGCGGCCCATCGAAGCCTGCACCGTACACTTTGGCCAATGGGCGAGAGAGATCAGACACCAGTACCCATCTTAGTCTCTTTCGACTTTCGACGCAACAGCTAGGGTTGACAACGCCAACACCAGCCGACCAACACCAACAGCGTGGCCTTGTGTATCAAGGACGATGGATGTGAGTGCGGAAGCACCGCTCCGCATCGGTAACTTGCGGTCACCGAAATCGGACAAGCCTTTGGTGGCGATTGGCATCGAGGGCAGCGCCAACAAGGTGCGAAGTCCATTCAAACAACAAATAAATGTTGTTGCGGCCCCGCCCCCAGGGCCGTGCGGGTAGACCTAGAGCTGGGACCGGCGATCCAATGCTGAGATGTAGGGGTAGCACAGACCCGGCGCCTCGGATATGTTTCGAGTTGGGAAACTCAATCTCTAGTAGGTAGAGAGTTTTGTTGAGTTATTCGATAGCAGCGGTGATGTTGTGGTCCCACATCACCCATACAGCAGTATCTGCTACTGCTGTACACATCGTTCCTGTTGCTCTACGCAGGCAGTGTATGTACTGCGGTAGGACGAAGTTCCGGGCCGATTTTCTACTCGATAGGTCGACAGGGGTCGTGCCAAAGCCTGCCTTCGTGGGGTTCCGATCATCCTCTCGCCGGGATCCCTTTGAAAGCAAACACTTCAGTCCCAGAGCGTTCCCGGTAGACTTTCGAAATTTCGAAACTCCCCGCGCGCAGAAGGGGGGGAATGGGTGTATGTCACGTCACATGACTACAGCAGTACATCGTTTTGCACACAGCAGTAACGGGCAAACGTGGGCTTAGGGTTAGGGTTTTAGAGGGTATCCCTCACCCTAATCCTAAACCTAAACCTTACCCACCCCCGTTTCAGACGAAGGTGGGTGCTAGATTAACCGCTTTGTGTCGGCCG